TCGTGATCCTTAACACCTGAGAAGCAACCCCAAGACTTTTTTTTTTTTTTTTAGCTGAGCCATCCTGCCACCTGTTGGCAGCTCAGTGGCTGCTCAGCTCGGGCCGGGACTCGAACCGCTGTTGCTCAGAGCTCAAACTCTTGAGCGAGCTCTTAACCAACTGAGCCACTCGGCCGGCCCTCAACCCCAAGACTTTTGATTTAAGATGGTGTGCTTTGGTTAGCTTCCTAAAATTAATGGTGAAGAGTTGACTCCCCAGACAATATGCTATCATACTAATAGTGAGAATCACACTTATATTTTATAAAAATAAAAAATTATTGAACTTGATTAAGGGATTTTTCTATCTAATGATGAGCTGTTATCTCTACTACTAGTGTTGGAAGATGTGTAGCTTTAAAGCAAAGAATATATCTTGAGAAGCAAAAGCTGGACAGTCCTTGTCCCGACCTTCCACGCCTTAAATAAACAAATCTAAATATTTTTTGCATTGAGTAAAACTTTTGTAATTGACTGAAGTTTAACAGGTTATTTTTGTATGTTATTGCAAACATACTACCTACCATGTAACAGAGAACACACACACACACACACACACATATCAGAGTCATCTGTATTCTTTTAAAATATGTATATTCTAGCCCCAAATTCTGGATACGTTATATGGAGTGACTTTATTGTAGTTTAACTCTTGAGCACTTTTTTATTAAGGGATTTTTAAGCACCTAATTTGAGAAATCTGGTATTGCCATTGATTTATTTCTGTAACCATATGTAGGATTTGCTTGCTCCACAGCTGTAGACAATAAACAGAATAATCTAGGTACCAAAGGCTCTGTAAATAGATAGATGATTGGCAGATATGTTACGAGAGTGTAAGGTACTTGTAAAGTGAAGAACTTTGAGAAACCGGGTTCTCAGGGAAAACAGTCTAAGTGCTGTGTGTTTTGCAATTTGTAAGACCCACTAAGTGCTGAATATCCTTCATGCATTCGGCAAGTGACTACTGAGCCACCGACCTTGTGCATGTCACAGGGCAAGGAGCCTGGAATCTGCTAGAAGAATTAAGACATATACACACGGGGAAATACAACTCATAGTAGAGGTTGGTGGGTGCCAGAAGAGAAATGCGGATAAAACGCTGTGGGAGTTGAGAGGAGAGAAAAGTTTCTTTTGTTTGACGTGATCTGGACCGGGAGTTGGTGGAGCTCCTACAAGGCCGTGAAGGAAGTGGAGAGGAGCCAAGGTTCTGGGGATCTTGGAGAGAGAGAGCAGAAAAGTTTATCACAGGAACAAGGAAAAGGAGAGAGTTGGAAACATTTGAAAGTATTTATCCTTCACGTGTGAAACATTAGTGAATCAGTAACAGGAACATAGTGTAAAATTATGGTCCCTGTGTCTCCAAAATACTCAGGGGATGAAAAGTTACAGAAATGTGCAATTGAATTGATCACAAGGTGGGGAGGACTTTCCTCTGATGCATGGCTTTCATATAGATAGACTGTACCACAAATGGTTAAATCCACAGATTAACGTTTCTTATAAACAAAACCACAGCGATAGAAACATGGGTTATCTGGGGTGAGTTGTTAGCTCAGTTGGTTAGAGCGTGGTGCTGATAACACCAAGGTTGCCGGTTTGATCCCCGCATGGGCCACTGTGAGCTGTTCCTTCCTTAAAAGAGTCAACTGTGCCATTGTAGCATGAAAGCAACTTGTAACCAATGATCATGGCTGTTCCCCAATAAAATTAAAGAAACAAAATGGGTTACCTTTGGAAGATGCTAGAGAACCAATTTATTTTGAAAACTGGTAAATAAAGGAGAAAAAATCAAACATTTTCTTGTGTTCCCATGCAAACTCTATCATTGTAACCAGATAACTAATAAGGTGTCATTTCTCTATGGAAATATTCCAGCTGATAAATGAAGATGGAATAATAGACTTTAAATACCACCATTTTGCAACCTCTAATGAAATAATGTATCACTGATGGCTGCTAATAAAGCAAAAATAAAGATAACCAGAAATTTGCCTCCTGATGCAAATATGCAGTATTACTTAGGAAGTATTCTTACCAAAAATCAAACCTGTGTTTGATCAAACATCAATAGCCAACCACTAGGGGACAGAAAAACATGTTAAATGACATCAAGGGAATGGAATCAGCAAATGCCAGGCTGAGAAAGTATAAACGTAAGACCCAGTATCTTCAACAGATAAGGAGGGGATGGAGGGAGTGGTGAGGGGTAGGGAGGAGCGAGAGATGGAGATTAAATGGATAAATAGATATAGATATAGGTAGATGGATAGATAGAACCTATAGATGAAAAGAGCTTTAATAGACATTCACCAGTTTTAAGTATGGAATTTACTGAATCCAGATTCCACCAAATTATTCGGAGCTTTTTGAAACATTTAGGGGAAATTTTTATACTAACTAGATGATGTCAAAGAATTTATTATTTACATATTAGGAATGTGTTAATGGTATTGTGATTATTTTTAATAGCATACACATTGAAATACTTACAAAGGAAATGATAGGATGTTTGGGATTCCTTTCAAACTAATCTGAGATGAGGGGACACTGGTGGGGGTATAGATAAAACACGATTAAGCTCAGGCTGATGGTTGGTGAAGCTGAGCCGCCATGGGTACATGGAAATTTGTTACACTGTTCTCTTTATTTTTGGATATGTTTGTCTTTTTTTCATTCTAAAAAGTTTTTTGAAACTGGAAAGGTGAAACCCAAGCAGAAGCATGATGAAAATCTATGAGATTATGATTGACATGGCTTGGAAGAATACGAATGTGTCTGATGTGTTTCTGAATAGTAAGAGGAAGGGGCCATCTTGTATGATTTGAAAGAAGTGGTTTTCGGACAAATGCAAGAAAAATCCTACTTTACCCTTGTTTTCCATAACCTGCAAATGGTTTAGAAAAACTCATAGTCAGAGAAGTTTGGGGAGCATCCCTAACCTTTTGTTTGGAGCAGACAGCCACGCTCTGAATTTGTAACAAACATGATTTCAGTCTTTCAGCGATAAGATACCGTATTTGCCGGCGTATAAGACGACTGGGCGTATAAGACGACCCCCTAACATTTCCACTCAAAATACAGAGTTTGTTATATACTCGCCGTATAAGACTACCCCTTCTTCCGCACACCTTCCACACACCAAATAAAAGGTAAAACAATATCAGATTTGATTTGGCCCACTGAAGTGCAAACAAGCGTATTGTATTTCGTGTCACCACATAACCGTTTTGGCGATGTTGAGCCACCATGTCTGCTACATGTTTTTCGAGTTCTGGCCAGTGTGGGGTGCCTCTTCTTAATGCACAGTTACCCCTTGGCATACTCTTTAATGCTTTCTCATTTGATTTCCAGTCCCGAACCATCTTTTCTGTTACTCCATATTGTCTTGCAGCAGCACAATTATTATTTTCCTTAGCAAAGTTTATAACTTTCAGTTTAAAATTTGCATCATACTTCTTTCTTTTGGCTGGTGCCATGATAGGGATGATAGGGGTTTGACTGGTCGACATTTTCTATGCTGTACTGTACAATGGTGCAGTATTGTGGTTGGCTGTTGGCTGTATACAAAGCCTGATTTGATTGGTCCCTGCTCCCTGTTTGCCCGCCCTGTCACTATAGCAGTCTGGTCCACCCTTGCATCAGCATCTCCCTGGGACCTCACTAGTGCGCAAGTGCGAGCTCTTCAACATTCTAACAGGCACCATGATAGCGCAAAATCGCGAATCTTCAATGCATATGTAAAGAAATATACGGTAACCCGAATTTACCACACTCGCAAAATCGCACACAGCCGACCATACACCCAGTATGGTATCGCGATTCGCGATTTTGCACTATCATACTGGGTGTATGGTCGGCTGTGTGCGATTTTGCGAGTGTGGTAAAATCGCATAACAGCAAAATCGCATAACAGCCGAGCATACACCCAGCAGCGCTGCTGATGCCTGAACGGTATGTGGAATGAAGTGGGCGGGCATCGGGAGGCCACTATGGCACGGGGCAAGCACTATGGGCAGTCTATCTGAAGTGTACCTGGCGTATAAGACGACCCCCCACTTGGAGGCATATTTTTCAGGCCCAAAAAATCGTCTTATACGCCGGCAAATACGGTAACTGTGGTGTAGCCTGACCCATTATAATTTTCAAATGTTTCTGCTGCCCAAGTTTTTTGAGCTTATAAGAGAAATATGCTTTCTCATAGGAGAAATAGATCTTATTCAATTATTTTACTACCCATAATTTAAAAAAATTAGTTTGTTGGGGTTTAGCAGGTACAGTAAGTGTGTACCTAAGTGTACTACCCTCTTACCCGGGGGTAACCAATATTCTGAGTTCTATCATCATAGATTAGTTTTGCCTTTTTTGATCTTCATAAATGGAATCATAACAGCTTGTACACTTTTATGTAAGACTTTTTTCACTCAACGTGATACCTGGGAGATTTGTTATATTTTACATATATCAGTAGTTTGTTCTTTTTTATTGCTATTTAGTATTCCACTCGTATGAATCTACTTCACTTTACTTAGTAATTCTCCTGTAGCTTAATATTTGGGTATGTTATCTACTAGGGGTACATAAAACTACCATGACATTCTTGTGGTAGACATGATACATTCATACCTTCTGGGAATTGCTAGGTCATAGGGGTAGGCATATGTTGAATTCTGGACATAATGCCACATAGTTTTCCCAAAATGGTTGCATTTTGGAAACACAGTGCCACCCTCCAGCCATGTATGAGGGTTCCAGTTACTTCACATCCTTGCCAACGCTTGGTATTGTAGTCTTTTTAATTTTAGCCATCGTGGTGGGTATTTAGTCCTACATTTGAACCACATCTTTTACGTCAAAGTATTACATAGGCCCTCTTGTGTCTAATTGTGGGTCCTAACTATGTGTGATCAGTTCTTCATTGTAATTCTTAAACTAAACTGTTACTCTTTTTCTTTTCTCAGTTGTCACCGGTAGTACTGATGGAATTGGAAAATCATATGCAGAAGAGGTAGGTCATTTTCAAGACCTTTCTTTTTGGTATTAAAAAATATAAGGACAAAATGAGTATAAAATTTTCTATGCTGGTAAGTTGAAATTGTGAAAAAATTTAGTGTAATTTCATTTTATAGTGTGTAAGTGTGGACACTCCTGGGTTTTGAAAGTTAATGGTTTTGAAAACTATTTTCCAAAAGGTGAACGTAGTATTATATAGTGGTTACATTTCCAGGCTAGTCCATGATGTCATTTACACAAGAAGGGCTGTGATTGACAGAAATATAGTGACAGACACAGGCAGAGGATTCAAGTTCTCTGTAATGTCATCAAATGATAGGAAACTGGAATAGTTTAAAGACCATCTTAAGAGGCAGGAACGTGGCAGCACTCCGTCAAGCTTCCCTCCCTCCCACTTCCATGAAAGCACCCCGGCCTCTGATACCGATTGTGATGAAGATCCTGGCAGATCCACTAAATCTCTCATTTGTCATTCCCAAAGGGTTTTTTTTTTAAATCCTCCTTTGTTTTCCCAGTTTTTAATTTTGAATATGAAAACTACAGAAAAGTTGCAGGGAAAATACAATGAACGCCCATATACCCTTCACCAGATTCACCAATTGTTAACATGTGCCACATTTAACTTTCTTTATTATTCTAATTATAATTTGATTGGATCGTTTGTGAGTTACAGACATCATAACAATTCACTCCTAAATATTTCAGCATGAATCTTCTAAGAATTAGAACACACCCTTATAACCATAATACTGTGGTCACATGTGGAAAGTTGAACTTGATACAATACTAATATATAACATACACCCTATTTGCAAGTTGCCCAATTGTCCCCAAAACCTCTTTATAGCTCTCTCGCTCGCTCGCTCTCCTTTTTTTTTTTAGCTGAGCCATCCTGCCACCTGTTGGCAGATGTTGGCAGCTCAGCTGGGATCAGGAATTGAACCGGCAACCCTGTTACTCAGAGCTCACTCTTGAGCAAGCTCTTAACCAACTGAACCACTCGGCCATCCCTCTCTCTTTTTTTTGTTGTTCCAAGATTCTTTTAAGGATTATGCATTGCATTTAGGTGTCATGTCTGTTGACTGGAAGACATCCCTGTTCCCTAGACTTTTTTTTCCCCTTTTATAACTGGTGTTTTTGAAAAATCCAGGACAGTTGTTCTGTAAAAGGTTTCTGAACTTGAATTTGCCTGATTGTTTCCTCATGATTAGATTCAGGTTAAACATTGTTTTTTTTATCAGGAATGCCACTCAGGTGTTATTGTATTCCTCTGAATTTATCTTACCGGGAGGCACAAGAAGTCCACTTGTTCCATTATGGATTATGTTAAGTCATTTATGAAAATGCCGCCCACCATAACTCTCCATTATAAAGGTACTTTCCACTTCATAATTAATAAGGAATATGTGGGATTTCACTTTGAGGATTTGATATTCATATTTGAGACTATGAATATCCAAGTTTTTCACCAAATGATTTTAACATCCATTGACATTTTTTTTGCCTTAAAAATTAGTTCTGGGCTGGCCGAGGGGTGCATTGGTTAAGAGCTGGCTTGGGACACCAGCTCTGAGCAGCAGGGCCCCGGTTCAGATCCCACATGAGGGCCAGTGATGCTGCCCCCTCTACAGCTAACATGGTGAACAACAGCTCGACCTGGAGCTGGGCCGCCGTGAGTCGCTTGCCGTGGCGTAGGCTGCAGTGGTGCTGCAGTGGGCTGCCATAAAGCTACCGTGAGTGGCTGGCAGCCAGCATGAGCACCGGGCAGCCGGTGTGAGCTGCCAAGAGCTGCCGTGAGCGGCTGTCCATTGGCCGGTGACTGATCTGCCTCACAGAAGAATGCAATGATAATACCAACATGGGCCAGTGAAGCGACGTCCTCCACAACTAGACTGAAGGACAAAAGGACAGCAACTTGTCTGTTCCCCTCCCCCAGCACTGTTCCCCTCCCCCAATTCCCCACTAAAAATCTTAAAAAAAAATATATATCTTCCCAGTTAAAAAAAAATATATATATTACCATGGCGGTCTAAAAATGATGGTTTTCCTAATGATATCTTTTCTTTCCTCTTGCATTAGATTGCTTTTTTTCTATGAAGAAGAGCTTTTACTTGTCCCTCCTCCTCTGTTAATTAAAAAAATATATATATCTGTATGGATTCATGGGTTCCTTAGTGGTTTTAATTGCAGATTAATTTAGCAAATTATTACCAACCTTTGTTATTTTTATTTAAAAAGTGTTCTATATGTTCTCATTTGTAGTACCACTTATTACTTAATAAAAACCGACTTTAGGATTTAAGACTGGAATATGGTTTACTAAATCACTTATAGTTCATAGCAGCTAATTTATTGCCCATTTATATACTGTCTGGAATAGTTCACTAAAAAGGCTCGTGTATATCAGTATTTTTTCCTCTGCCCCCATATTTATGTGTCTCGGGGGGTAGAAACCACATTCCTGTAAATCTTACTTGTTCTGTGCAGCACTTACACAGTGCCTAGGTATGTACATAGAAGGTACTTGCTCCTCAGGAAATTCTTTATTAATTTATCCAATTAACTATCGTAGTTTGCTGTTTGCCTTTGTTGTCTATAAAGTATAATGCTTAAATAAAAATTTTAAAATTGACTCTATTTTTAACCATTCCTAACATTTCAAATATAGTTTTTTTTGCCAGTCCTCTGGTCTTTGTGTATGCAGTCTGAACAAGACTTTTAAAGTTAATTTTGAAATTATAGAAGTAATAGATAATTATGATTTTAAAAACTCAAACAGTATAGACGGGTACAAAATGAAAAGTAACAGTCTTCCTTCTTCTAAAACCCTCTGATATTTGTATACTAGCTTGATTTAGAACCCTTTGGGGAATCCTTTTGTACATTCTTCCTTTTGGATCGCCCATTTATTACACTTGGGTTTATTTCTTTTTTAATTTGGATTATCATATGGGCAGGTTTTCTTAAAATGAGGCTATATCTAACTTCTGTTTCCCAATGAAATGCACAGGTGTGATTTAACTGTTTGGTGTCTCTTTTATTGTTTCAGCTAGCCAAGTGTGGGATGAAAGTTGTCCTTATCAGCAGGTCACAGGATAAGCTGAACCAGGTTTCCAGTGAAATAAGTAAGTTCTCATGTCCCCCTCCCCTCCCTTCCCCTTCCTCTCACGATTACAAAAGCAATACAGCTAACCTGAGTGGAATGTTTTCAAGCAGATATCTAGCACTGACATATTTATGGTTCAGAAAGCTGCTTTTTCATGCTGTTAACGGGATGTTTTAAAGCAGGATCATCAATTTTTTCAAATTATATAATTATATAGGGCTCTTGTAATTTGCCTAAAATGTCTTTTACTGACTCATTTCATTTCCGTTGTCAGGAGTCAAATCCTCTGATTATTTTATCATGTTCTACTTAAACCTTTTCTATTGCTTCATTTCAATATTCTTGCGTGTTCTTTTTTTTGTTTTTAACGAGGAGTTTAATCAAGTTAGTATTAATTAAATTAGGACACATCAAAGTGGCATTAAAAACACTTTTTAATGACAACAGATGGTAAATTTGTACAAATTACAGACCAGAATATAATGAATACAAAATCCATCCAGATAACAGATGAAAAAAGCATCACTTAACAAAAGTAAATCTGATTCAACTGGCTAAAGAACTCAAGCCCTCCTGTTTTGATAATTACACACAGCTTTCAATGCAGCACATCTAAACCCTGGCCCTAGTCAGGGGCTGTATTCAAGACACAGCATATCCAGTGACTCTAGCGATTGAAAGATTCTAACACTTTTACACATTGATGTCATGTTATGAGAGACATCTCATAACTGGCTCACTGTGTAAAACTCAAACAATATGTAAACATTCTTTGGAAGCTGTGCAGATGTTCTTAGCTATTGCTATTGTTACTGTTCAGTGAGATTCCACTGAACTTAAGGAAAAGGAAGACCAGTCTGTGCAACTGACACATCTGGTGTGTTTTTTTTCCTCTAACTTCATTGTCTCTAAAGTGTATATCTTATATGATTGAGGAAAAATACAAAAGGTAGCGTATATGTATGCGACTGGGAAAGTGTTTTGAACTTTCTTCTTAGTCAGTTGTGCTTGAGACCTAAATTATAATATTGCCAAGACTCTTAACTGACATCTAGTGAACCAACCAGATGGACAAGCACCAGTGCTGTCCATTTCCTTGGTAAAACAAACTGCCTGGTGTTCTCAGTTTGCTCTTTGTGGCTGGTCGGCTTCCCAGTTTGATACTTTGTACACTTTCATGCACATAAATTGTTTACTTATTAAGAACCAGTTGTGTGTGTTCCCAAACTCACTTATGTTGGATGCATTTGTTATTAAATATTCTGTAAACCGATGCAATATTGGTGTAAAAAGAATTGTTTCTACAAAAACTAAGCAGAGTGCTCTGAAAAAAAGTGAGAAAAGCAAGTTCTTTCAGAAATTGGTTGTCAAATTAGGGGTGAACAAAACAAGTGTAAAATATTGGAAAAAATTATTAAAAATAAGAAAATTGCTCTCTGATTATTCTATATGTATAGAAGTTCTTGCTGAATTTTACAAGAACTGGAACTGCAATCATACATGATGCATTATGGGTGTGGTTTATGCAAGAAAGACGGGGATTCCAGTCAGCAGATCTGAATGCAACCATAAGGCCTTGGCCCTAAGCAGAGGATTGGTGAATGAATTATACATGGTTTAAATTAAAGCAAATGGTTCTAATGTGCATTTATCATTTTCTAAGATTCCTTGCTTTAACAGACTCCTCTAAATAGCCAACTAACAAACTGCCCTAATTCAGATAAGAGAGGATTTCTACTGGTTTTTATTATTATTTTTCCCAGCTTTATTGAGATATAATTGACATATAAAATTATGTAAGTTTAAGGTGTACAATGTGCTGTATTTTATTATTTGCATTACCCTCTACTACTAACACTTATATAATGCTTTATTATTTATTTATTCTCTCACATGTCTTATTTCCTTTGATCCTTCAAACATCCTTGTGAAGTATATTATATTTTTGTTATTATTTCTTTCAAGACCATTGCTGATTCTACTGGGCAGATGACACATAGATGCATTTTATCTTTAGGTGAAAAACAGATCTTTATAGATTCCTAATATTAAGTGTGTTAAATATTTTTATTTTGTAACCCTGCTGCTGCAAGCACAGAACTTTACAAAGGTGAGCATGTGGTGTATATAAGTCTTAGGCATTTAAGGATTTTAACTTTCAAGGTTTCAACTATGTAAATGCAACCCTGAAGGTCCAAGACATACAGTATTTTGCAGTTTGCTGAGGTGTGAATTTGAATTAAGCTGTGACACTAATGAGCGAGGTGCAGTTACTTAGACAGCAGTTGAACTTAGCATTCTGCCTGGATCTTAGTTCTGTTTCTTTCTTAGTTACTTGTAGTCTTGTGTATAATAACTCTTAGCCCGATAAAAAATGCGCTGTGTGTGTGTGTGTGTGTGTGTGTGTGTGTGTGTGTGTGTGTGTAAAATTGGCTGTTAACGAAAGCATCTAACAGTTGCCAGAAGTAAAGGTTCATATGCAGAAATAGAAGCTTTTGATTAATGGGATGCTGTATTTTGAAATGCTATGATATGAATGAATACACCATCTGCCTGGTACAGAAACAAGAAAAGCTACCTCACGACACTCTTTCAGCAAGTGCTCCAGCCAGTACAAAAGTTACTTCATGAGTCAGAAGATAATACTTTAATGATATTTGAGAATTTGGTTAACTTATGATATGAGGTGACGTGTGACTGTGGGCAGAAATGTGGTTTGGGGTAAGACAGGCTCCTGTTCAAACATTTCCGCGATGGAACAGATGGTGAAGGCACTGAATTGGCCTTTATTATGAAGAAAGGTTTTTTCTTTTTTTCCCCTTGTTGAAAAATTTTGAAAAATATTTTTCTGGGAATAATATAAATTTAATGGAAGAGGTGATAGCAGCATATCAGGTCATCTGTTCCAAGCTGAAGAAATACAGAGATTTATAAGTTTGTGGAAGTTTTCAATTCAGATGTAAATCATCTCTTTGGGAGGAAAATGTTTTTATGAACATATCTATGCCAGGTCAAGAAAGGAGCAGAATTGAGTGTTAATAAAGACAGGCTAACTCTGTTTATGCGTTCAGCACATCTTCGTGGAAAGCCTGTGTACCGGGCACTGTGCTAGGCAGTAAGCTTACAGTGGTGAACGAGATAGATGCAGTCCTCGCTCTCATGGAATTTATATGCTCTTGGAGGAGACAGAGCAAACAAATCAGTCAGAAACCAAAAACCAACAAAATAAATAATTGCTGTTTGTAGTGAGAGAGAGAGAGAGAGAGAGAGAGAGAGAGAGAGAGAGAGAGAGAGAGAGTGTGTGTGTGTGTGTGTAAGTAAAATTGGCTGTTAACGAAAGCATCTAACAGTTGCTGGGTCCACACCGATAGCCCAAGTCTCAGGGTCTCCATCTTCCTCATTCAGCGCTTTCACTTTCATACATGAAATATGGTGAGTCTGTGAAATGCAACTTACATTGTAATTCTCCAACTGGCACAGTTAAATCTGATGTTAACAAGGTGAGCTCGGTGGCTGTAAGACATAAAAGTTTTTATTAGGGCTGCCATAGAAATTTTCTGGCTCTGATAAATGTGAATTGAAAGTTTAAAGAGCCAAGGTTTTGGTAAGTGCTCCAGTGCATTCGGGAGAAGCTCTATCAGACCAAGTCTTGAGTGCTCGTCACTTCTGCCCAACTCACACGTGGCAGCCACTTGGTCCCTTCAGGCTCTTCTTTAATACATGCTTCACTCCAATCAGCAACCAGCGTTTATTTGATTCATGGTGATGCTACTGCATCATGGATCAAATCAAACCAACACTAAAGTCATTTGAGGTCTATTTTTTGGGGAGCCTACTCCTGATACCAGTTTCTGTTTCAGAGCTCAGGCAGGCAAGACAGGCTAGTAATTCAGTAGTTTTAACTAGGCTAACTTGTCTGTTGTAGTCCAGCTCTTAAACTCACTCCCGTGAGTTACACTCATCCTTCCTTCTTCCTCATCTGACTGAAAGAAGAAAAGAAGGAAGGAGGAGATTGAAAAGGAAACCAGGGGCCAACTCAAGAAAAACAGGGGACAGAAGCTCCTCTCCCCTTCAGCTCTTCACTGCCATTATGTCAACTTGGTGATTCAGTGCCTTTAGAAGCAATTTCTTGTGAGTGTGGCGGACAGCATACTCATCAAAGTCAAAGTTCGTCAGAAAAAAAATGTAAAAGATTATATATAATTTAGTAGAGAACTAAATGTTTTGCCAACAGTGGGGTAAGTGCTTTCTCAGGATTGACTGCTTTGATGAAATTACAGGGCTTTGTGAGGGGTCTTGTCACCCGCTGAATTAAGACAAGCTGAAAGTCATCACACATATAATAAGCTCATTCTGTTATCATTGTTAGCCAGGATTATTCATATATTAAGTGTTTCTGTCAATTTCAATTTGTGAAAGAAAAACTCTTGGATAATTTTTGAACTCTGATCTGAGTTTTTACTTGCAATTAAGCCTGGTGTAAGGGAGACTGACTAGCTTTCAGAGCAACCTATTGGTTTGCACACTGTTGAGATGGTATATGTGCAGTTTGTATGATGTGATAAAGATGATTGTATACAGTTTAAACAGCTTCGATTTAAACAACTGCACTTTTCTGTCTTTGATTAAAAACAAACAAACAAACATGACTTTTCTCTTTTTTGTAACTTATCTCAGCTTTAGGATTGCCCTGGAATTCCATGACTTTCTCTCTTGAAAATGCAAAGCTTTTAGAAATGTAAGTTTTATGGGCTTATAGTCAATGGAGGAATAGGGTAAGGTAAAAAAATACGTTTTACTTTTTTAGTCCTTACCTATGGTCAAATCTGTGCAGTTATGGTATGGATTTGACCACGTAAGTTTCTTCCACAATTTTCTGAAGCACTGTCAGTATCATTAATAGGGTGTTTTGTTAAATTTAGCCTATTTCATTTGCATAAGGTCTATGAGGTATTAATGAATACGTAAAAACTTTTTTGTTTTATGTTTAATAAAACTAGAATCACATGTTAGGATTAG